AACTGCAGAAGTCAAACCGTAGAAACAACTCAGGAGAGGCGGGAGTATGTTACATTCTTTTACTCTAAAAATCCATTTGCTTCATTCTTTACAATTTTGAGAAACAGAAGAATATCGTTGGAACAGATAAAGAAAAACTGAGCATTACTTATTTACAAGATGCTTTTCTCTATGTAACAATCAGCATTGATCCTTTGTGTTACAAGCAAAGCTTTTAATAGCTTTCTCTTTGTATTAAGAGAAATCATTGCTTGAGCCCGGGAGGTGGAGGCTGCAGTAAACCATGATCGTGCCACTGTCTCCAGGTGACCGAATGAGACTCTGTCTCAAAAAACAAAACAAAAAAAAAAAAAAAAAAAAAGAGAGGCCGGGCGCGGTGGCTCAAGCCTGTAATTCCAGCACTTTGGGAGGCCGAGGCAGGTGGATCATGAGGTCAAGAGATCAAGACCTTCCTGATCAAATGGTGAAACCCCGTCTATACTAAAGATACAAAAAATTAGCTGGGCATGGTGGCACGTGCCTATAATCCCAGCTACTCAGGAGGCTGAGGCAGGAGAATTGCCTGAACCCAGGAGGCGGAGGTTGTGGTGAGCCGAGATCGCACCATGCACTCCAGCCTGGGTAACAAGAGCAAAACTCCATCTCAAAAACAAAAAAAACAAAAAACAAAAGAGAAAGCATATTTAAAATTTCAAACTAAAACATAATCATTTCCTCCTTACATATTAAAAATGTGGTGGCTAACTCTGAAGCTACCAAGAAAGCTAGTCAGCATAGAAGGGATTCAAGTATTAGAAGAACTGCTGGACAAGATTACCTTTCATATTCCTGCCAACACACAGGATCCATAATTCCAGGCCAGGTGTGGTAGCTCGCACCTGTAATCCCAGCACTTTTGGAGGCCGAGATGGGAAGATCACTTGAGGTCAGGAGTTTGAGACCAGCCTGGCCAACATGGTAAAACCCCGTCTCTAACAAAAACACAAAAATTAGCTGGGCGTGATGTTGGGCACCTGTAATCCCAGCTACTCAGGAGGCTGAGGCAGGAGAATCACTTGAACCCAGGAGACCCAGGAGGTGGAGGTTCCAAAGAAACATAGATATAATAATTATTATTGAGACAGGGTCTTGCTCTGTCACTTAGGCTGGAGTACAGTGGCACAATCTTAGCTCACCACAACGTGCACCTCCTGGGCTAAAGCAATCCTTCCACCTCAGCCTCCAGAGTAGCTAGGACTAGAGCGCATGCCACCATGCCCAGCTGATATTTTGTAGAGACAAGGTCCCTATGTTTCCTAGGCTGGTCTTGAACTCTTAGACTTGAGCAATCCACCCTCTTGGGCCTCCCTAAGTGCTGGGGTTACAGGTTTGAGCCACTGCTCCTGATCCTGTTGTGTCATTTAAAAAAATGGATCAAAGACATAAGAGCTAAAACTGTAAAACTCTTAAAGAAAACATAGGGTCAAGATCTTCATGACCTTGGATTTGCCAATGCTTTCTTGGCTATGACACACAAAAGCACAGTCAACAAAAGAAAAAAAAAATAGATAAATTGGACTTCATCAAAATTTAAAACTTTTGTGCAAAGGATACTACCAAAGAGTGAAAAGGCAACCAAAAGAATAGGAGAAAATACATGCAAATTATATATCTGATAAGAGATTACTTTTTATTTTGAGACAGGGTCTTGCTCTTTTGTCCAGGCTAGAGTGCAATGGCACATTTTCAGCTCACCGTGGCCTCCACATCCTGGGCTCAAACCATCCCCCGCAACCCCGAGTAGCTGGGACTACGGCCACACACCACTACACCTGGCTGATTTTTGTATTTTTTTGTAGAGATGGGCTTTTTCCATGTTGCCCAGGTTGGTCTTAAACTCCTGAGCTCAAGAGATCCACCCACCTCAGCCTCCCAAAGTGCTGGGATTATAGGCATGAGCCACCATGCCCAGCCCTGATAAGAGATTAATATCCAGAGTATATAAAGAACTTCTAACACTCAACAACAACAAAATACCCAATTGAAAAATGGACAAAGGTCTTAAATAATGTTTCTCCAAAGAAAATATGTAAATAGCCAATAAGCACATGAAAAGATGCTCAACATCACTAATTATGAGGAAGATGCATGAGATATTCCCTCCCGCTCATTAGGATGACTTGTCAAAAAGAAAAGGAAAACAAGGAGAAATTAGAAATCTTGTACATTGCTGGCAGGAATGTAAAATGGTATAGTCACTGTGGACAAGCAGTATGATGGTTCTTCGAAAGTTAAACATAGAATTACCATCCAGCAAACACACTTCTAGGTATATAATACCCAAAAGGATCGGAAGCAGGGCCTTGAATGGGTATTTGCAGACCGATATTCATAGCAGCAGTATTCTCAGTGAAGTATTGATACATGCCACGTGGGTGAACTTAAAACATGATACTGGCCAGGCGCGGTGGCTCATGCCTATAATCCAAGCACTTTGGAGGCCAAGGTGGGCGGATCACCTGAGGTCGGGAGTTCAAGACCAGCCTGACCAACATGGTGAAACCCCGTCTTTAAAAACAAAAACCAAAAAAAACCATGATACTAAGTGAAATAAGCCAGACACAAAGGACTCATATTATATTATTCAATTTATGTGGAGTACCTAGAATAGGCAAATTCATAAGAACAGAAAGTAGAATAGTGGCTGCCAGGGGCTGGGGAAAGGGGAAATGGGGAACTTACCACTTAATGGGAACAGAGTCTCGGTTTGGGATGATGAAAAAGTTCTGGAGATGGATATTGGCGATGGTTACACAACAATGTATGCATGTACGTAATGCCACTGCATCGCACACTTAAAAATGGTTAAAATGTAAATATGCATATTTTACCACAATTTAAAAATGTGTAAGGTGTCAGGAAGTAAGGGGAACGGCATAGCAGCTGTAGTCACAGCTGTATCAGCAAAAAGATCCTTCTCCAAATTAAAAAGTATCGACATTCCTGCCATCTTACATTTGCCAAGAGCAACTGACATCACTTTCCATTATGCTGATTGGAAATTAGGCTGTTAAAAGTATAAACTTTGATGACCTAATCAATGAATTTTTAGCAAAGCCAGTCAGAAAAATCTTACAATCAAGCAAGATATCACATATTTATAAAGTAATAGATAATATTATATAAAATTATGACACCAAAAATATTTTAAAATTTGTTTATATTGATACTCATGTATCCCTATTACCCCTATTACATTTTGCAAATAATAAAGCTTTTTTAAAGGAAAAAGCTTTAGAGTTAGCATTTTAATGGCACATTCCACCTGCTTTTGGAAAAGGAGCTCTGCATTTGCAGTTTTGTTTTGGAGAAACCCCACGAATTATGTAGCTGGCCCTGGTGCTGGCTTTCCCATCTGCAGTCACTTCCCCTCTGTGTCAGTTTCCTCACCTCCCAACTGGGAATATTTATCCTGCTTCATGAAACTGACATGAACATCTGTGCACATGTGCATGTGTATGTGTGTGGCTGTGTGTGTGTGTGTGTGTGTGTGTTTGAAAGTGGTATGAAAAGTAGAAATGCTTTAAAATATTTGGTGGCATCACTGTTGTTACTAATTTTTAGCCACCGCCCTTCCTGGAGTCTGAGTCTTTAGCCAAACACATTTATCGAAAATGAAGAAATTAATTCATTATTTTCCATGGGGCTTTTCAGACAAGCATTTGAGCTAAATGATTCATGTGGTCCATAAAGGTATCATTTTTATAGGCTAATGATTATTTTATTATTATTATTATTTTGAGATGGAGTTTTACTCTTGTTGCCCAGGTTAGAGTGCAATGGCAGGATCTTGGCTCACTACAACCTCCACCTCCTGGGTTCAAGTGATTCTCCTGCCTCAGCCTCCGGAGTAGCTTGGACTACAGACATGCGCCACCACGCCAGCTAATTTTTGTATTTTTAGCAGAGACAGAGTTTTGCCATGTTGGCCAGGTTGGTCTCGAACTCCTAACTTTAGGTGATCCGCCTGCCTTGGCCTCTAGAAGTGCTGGGATTACAGGTGTTAGCCACCACACCTGGCCCTAGACTAGTGACTTTATAGATGGTATTTCTTCACACAACTAAAAGCAGAGTCTAAACCAAAAATGATGCCAAAACACTAGACTTCAATCAACAATCTTAAAAGCTTTCTATTTGATAAACCCTCTGACTTTTAAGTAACTCAAAGGAAAAGCACCACCGGGAGACCCGAGTGCCCCCAGAATCGTCCTTGGACCATCTGTAATCTTGTCTTATGATCCAGTACTGCTGAGTGTAAATAAAGATACTGCTGTAAATAGAAGCAAAAATGGCCCCGCACTCAGATGGCTACATCTGGGAGCTCTGCCAAATTAGAGAATTATGAGTCTGAGCACCAGGTAGGTTCCAAAGCAGAAGCTGGGGTCTCAGATCTGTACTTCTACTTCATGCACACTTGGTGCATTTTCTGACAATATCGTGACCCGTGGTACAGTGACTATTAATCCCTACCACTGGGGCTTTCCTGAGCCCTTTACACATCCTCCTGACTCTCCTCGGAGACCGCGTAGGTAGCTGGCTGAGGGGTGGGGCCAGGACCTTCGGACAAGCTCTTCTGTCAAGAGGCTGGCCCTGAATAGCCACACTTGTAACTGATCAATAGGTTAACAAGCTGGTGGGGGTAGAACTCCGAATGCTCCACTGTCCCTGCCTCCTAGAAGTTGGTCAACATCTCCCTCCTCCAGGGTGGTGGAATCCACTTTGAAGTGTTCTCTCACCCTGGCCCTCCCACTCCCTAACCCTTGCCCTCTTTCTAATTGCCCTGATCTCATCCCAGCCTCCATAGCTATGTTTAAAGTCCACCTCTGGGGAACAGACAGATTGAACATTCCAGATAATCCCTTTCCCAGTCCTGCCTGACATCTAGGTAGGGGGTTTGTCCCTGGACTTCTGGGACACTGGCGGAGTTTGAGGAGAGAACCCAGTACCTACCTGGCTGCAGGATGGAGCTGGCCAGTGGCTTCTTGGTTTTGTGGCTCTGCCTGGGGGGTGGCCTGGCTCAGGGTGACACAAGCCCTGATGCAGAGGAGTCCTATTCAGACTGGGGCCTTCGGCACATCCGGGGAAGCTTTGAATCCGTCAATAGCTACTTTGATTCTTTTCTGGAGCTGCTGGGAGGGAAGAATGGAGTCTGTCAATACAGGTGCCGATACGGTGAGTGTGCGGTTTCTCTTTCTGTAAAAACTGTAACTGATGGACCCATGGGCAGCCCAGCCCGAGAGGTCACGATCTGTCTTGCACTTTTCCCTGTTATCCACTTAGAGCTGCCAGATTTAGCAGATACAAATGTAGGACACCCAGTGAAATGTGAAATCCATAAACAACAAAGAAGTCATTAGTATAAGCATGTCCAGGGAAATATGTGGGATATACTTATCCTGACAAATTCTTCGTTATTTCTCTCAAACTCACATTTCACTGAGCTTCCTGTATTGTATCTGGGAAACCTTCCCTGGGCCATTTTAATGAGTTTCTTGTGAGGCAGTTCTTAGAAGGGTGTCTGGGGTGGGGAGAAGGCGTGTGGGTGTGAGAGGTCTCTGCCAGGAGTTCCCAGGGATGAAAACTAAAGCTGAACATTCAGAGAAAAATCTGCCGCGGGGCGAAACCACCTCCTCAGTTGTCCTGTGCTCAGCTTGGAAACAAATTCTCCCTTCCTCTGCTGCAGTTCACACAGTCCTCCAAGATCTCAGTCCCTGACTGGCACAAATTTGCCTGACTTTCCCAAGGACGCTGTCTCTGCCTGCCACCTCCGGCCGTGGAGAGGAAGGGTTCTTGGCTCACCAGGGATCCCAGGGGCTGTCCCTGGGGCTGGGCACCAGATGTAGAATTGTGAGCTGGCTGGAGCACATCCCCTGCCTTGCCTGGGTGGGACTGGGGGTACACAGGAGCTAAGATGCACACCTGGCTGCCAGCATGGAGTCCCTGGTGCCACTGCTTCCTTCATTGGGCACTGGAAATTAATGTCATGGGAGTGAAATGCGGAGGCCCAGGCCCTGAAGCTGGTGGCACTGTGTAATTGCAAATGCGCATGAAAATGTTTTCCAAAGCATGCACAGTCTCCGGTAGCATCAGTTTTATGGTTTAATTTATCAAATATCTCATGATGGGATTAGAAATGAAAATGGTGAGCCAGTTTAGCCTAATAGGAAAACACATTTGAGAAACATTTTCCCCAAATACTCCGCAGAGAAAATGTCAGCTTTCAAAAGATGCACAAAAAAATTACATACTTCCCGGACTCACCCCAGAAGTCTCTCCATTCCTGTTTATCTTTGAGTGGGGGAAATCGCTTACACTAAGGGTGATGAGGAGGTAATGGTTAATCATTGATTGCACCAGGACCCAGAGTTTTGCAGCACAGATGTTTTAACCACACAGGGATATGGTTTTTCTGTTTCGTTTGTTTTTTTAAAGAAAGGATGCTGCAGCTTCTTTGTAAAAGTTTCACAGAGAAGAATGCCTGCTCTGTTAGAACCTATCTGGCCCCAAAACCACGTATCTGTGGAAGGCAGTTAGAACCACGCAGAGGCCTTGCCACCAGATTGTGCTCCCCTGGTTTGCACGGATGGCGCGGGGAAGCGGTTGACTCCTTCAGACACTGGAATCAACACAGGCGTTTTCCTTCCTAAAGGCAACGTGAGACTAATATCTGTAGTTCAGCAAATAGGTAATGGCAGGAATTTTTTTTATTAGGAAATCAAGACCCAAACCCTCTTCTTCCTTCCCTAGCAAAGCGGCATTAAAGGACTTCAGCAAATTTTAGTTGTAGAGCCTCTGGCTGAGCAGGGTGGACGCCAGCAGCCACTGGTGGGGGATGGGAAGAGTAAACAGAAGAGGAAGGCAAATAACGCTTCTCACTGTGCGAAACAGCCTGCTGCTCAGCGAGCGGCCTGCAAAACGCTTAGAAAAATAGGGGGTTATGCCTCCTTACCTGGGAATCCAGTGGAGCCAAAAACCTGGAGGCTGTGCCCGAAAGAGTACAAAATATCTTCTCAGATTGATTGTGAATCAAGCAATCTCTTTTTTTTTTTTTAAATAGAGACGGGGTTTCACCATATTGGCCAGGCTGCTCTTCAACTCCTGACCTTGTGATCCACCCGCCTCGGCCTCCCAAAGTGCTGGGATTACAGGCATGAGCCACCATGCCAGGCCATCAAGCAATCTTTTGAACAGACAACACCTAATAACAGCATCTGCTCTTTTGTAGTTTGCTTTGTCACTGATCTCTCTTGCACAGTGCTTCTCTTTTAAGTGGTGGTTCTCAAACTCACCTGTGAGTTGAAGCCCCTGGAGGGCTGATTTAAACAGATCTCTGGGCCCCAGACCTGGTGTTTCTGATTAGTAGGAGTTTCTGGAAGTTTCTGCCTCAGCCTCCTGGTTAGCTTGGACTACAGGTGTGCGCCACCATGCTCAGATAATTTCGTAACTTTTGTAGAGAAGGGAGTCTTACCGTCTTGCCCAGGCTGGTCTCAAACTCGTGGGCTCAAGCAATCCTCCCAACTTGGCCTCCCAAAGTGCTGGGATGATAGGCATGAGCCACCGCACCAGCCAGGTTTTACCTTTGATAGGTACTAACTACAATTTAAAACAGCGGCTAACTTGGCTACACTTCAGATCACCTGAGGGGCTTTAACAACACCTGACACCAAATCAATTAAATCAACATTTCTGTGGGTTGGCCCCAGACATCAGTATTTTAACGTTTTTTCCCAGGTAATTGCAAAGCACAGCCAAGGTAAAGGAGTGGCATTCTATGAAGTCATTCTTAAAGAACTTAGGCCCACAGGTTATATTATTCAGGCAGATAAAACTGTGTATGTATCCTGGTAGCCTATGAAAGCATGTCAACATTGTTTTCCATGCTTCTCATAGCTAAAGTAATTTGGTTTCGTGCCAACACACAAAATCTGTACTTGTCAAACAAGTAGGCTATAAAGATGACAAGATCCAGCCTGTGTCAATGGCATACCCAGCACAACTGTCATTAAGGAGTCTGCAGCAATGCAAACAAGATGTCCTTGAAACTCTTTTCCAAAATATAGATACCCTTTTCCACCTCCAGAGATTCTGATGTAGTAGGTCTGTGGTATGACCTTTTAATGGCGAGTCTTTGAACCAGACTTTGAGGAATAAACATAGTAATGGAAAAATCATGGGTTTAAATTTAGGGGAAAATATCCCATTGCTGGTGACCTTGGGCACGTTATCTGACCCTCTCAACCTTAGTTTCCTCAAATATGTAAAAATAATGTTACTAATATCCACCTTACAAGGCTGTTGTGAGAATTAAAAGTTAGTATACATAAAGAATCAGTGGTATAGAGAGAGCATGGTAGGCACCAAACAAATTTTATAAATGTTGTGAGAAAAATGGTCTAGTGAACAGGCTAATTGCATTCAGAGTCTTCCAGTTCTCTTTCAACATAAAATAAAAAATCCCAGAAATCCCAGTAGCTGGACAACAGCCTCTCAGCTTCTGGAAGAAGTCCCTCGAGGGCACAATGACTGAAGAGTTATCAGCTTTATGAAGGTCTCTGGAGTTGGGTCAATGGAGCAGAGTTTCTATACTGATACTGTCCACACTTTCACACTTTAATAAAAGATCCTCAAAATCAATTTCTTCTTGGATTTAGATCCAAGATTTAAAGTATCTTAAAAGTTTCTTTAAATATCAGTCCATTGTAATTCCAGCACTTCGGGAGGCTGAGGTGGGAGGATCATTTGAGGTTAGGAGTTTGAGACCAGCCTGGCTAACATGGTGAAACCCTGTCTCTACTAAAAAATATAAAAATTAGCTGCGTATGGTGGCAGGTGCCAGTAATCCCAGCTACTTGGGAGGCTGAGGCAGGAGAATCACTTGAACCTGGGAGGCAGAGGTCGCAGTGAGCCAAGATGGCGCCACTGCACCCCAGCTTGTGTGACAGAGTGAGATTCTGTCTCAAAAATAAACAAACAAACAAATAAATAAAGGGTGTCTATATTTTTTTTAAAGATGGGATTTCACCATGATGGCCAGGCTCGTTCTTGAACTCTTGACCGCAGGTGATCCATCCACCTCAGCCTCCCAAAGTGCTAGGATTACAGGTGTGAGCCACCGTGCCCAGCCAATCAGTCTATTTTTTAAGAGAATTTTTATCTGAAGTTTTACAGCAAAATTTCATAAACCTGTGAGTTTGTATCTTTTTCCAGGGAAGTAACTCACAGACGTCATCAGATTCTCCAGGGGATCCAGAGCCCAAAAAAGAAAACAGCCATTGACTTCGAAGCAAACAGATTATTCTTTTTTGGGTGACTAAGTCTGCTGGGGATTTAGGGCGGAGGGGAGATGCTCCTAGGATGTGGGACTTTCAGTACTAACACAGGGACAGTATCAGGCAAACCAGGACAAGTTGGTCACCCTACGTCATGCAGTAACTTAATCTGTTTTAGAGACTGAAATACAGAGTTCTTCTCTTCAGGAAAATCATCCCTGTCCTGCTGTGTTCTGTTGACGTGTTAGTCATGTTGCATCTGAGTGTTTCTGGGAAGAGGGAAGATGTACCTTTCTTACATTTTCTGGGAAGTTTTTTTTTTTTTTGAGGCAAGAGTCTCCCTCTGACACCCAGGCTGGAGTGCAGTGGCGTGATCTCGGCTCACTGCAACCTCTGCCTTCCAGGTTCAAGTGATTCTCCTGCCTCAGCTCCCCGAGTAACTGGAGTACAGACACGTTCCACCAGCTACTTTTTGTATTTTTAGTAGAGACGGGGTTTCCCTGTGTTGGCCAGGTTGGTCTCAAACTCATGACCTCAGGTGATCCCCCTGCTGGGCCTCCCAAAGTGCTGGGATTACAGGCATGAGCCACCGCCCCTGGCCTGGAAATTATTTTATTTTCTCATGTTTGAGATAGCTGGTTGGGGTTGTTGATGAAGCTATGCCTACAATAGTTTAGTAAATACTTTTATTATTCATTTGGTATCATTGTCTGTTCTTTATAACAAACACAACATTAATAGAAAAATCATATTACTGAGTGGAAAACTGTAAAACAAATGACAAAGACATAATATCATTCCTACAAAAATATCATTCTTACAAACTGTGAAGAAATAGGTGAAAGACCTCAAAGAAAAATGAGCAAAGAATGGAAATGGGCAATTGACAGAAAAGAAAAACTA